AAGCCACCGGGTCTGGGACGCGCACCGTAGTCGACTACATGGGAGTCCAGCAACATAGCCATTACGCCAACTGCTGGTCCCCTACATATGACTGTTTTTTAAAAAGTTTTTTTAGGGTGCATGTTCTTGCTGGAGAGAGAAACAGACAGAGAGAAAAAGTGAGAAATCACCTGGCAGGAGGGATGGCCATGCCACAACCCCCTGTCCTCCATTCTCTTCCTGGGATTGTGAGCGTGCAATTAACGCAGCTGATGTGATGTCCAGGTTGCTGGGTCTGGGATTTTAGCCGTGGTTGACCATGTGGGAGTCCCGTACCCTAACTGGCCCCTAAAGCTTGCATTTTGCAGCATCACCTGTTGGCCCTGCATATTATATTTAAATCTGAATCTTCAAAATATAACAAACTTCATTAGGTTTCACTACCAGGTAGAAAGAGAAATTTTGGCATTCATACAAGCTTCCTAGACCTGTAAATCTTCCATCAGGAGTGGACCTCAGAATTGAGGAGTCATCTCCTGTACCTGAAGAACATTTTTGATAAGAAAACTGACAGATAATTAATTATTTACACTTTCTCTGCATTTTCCCTCCCACTCCATCTCTGAACTCTGTCCTCAGGAAGCTTGGTATTTCCCAGAATGCCATGCGCCAGATTGGTGCTGTCCCTGCTCTGACCATGGAGGGAGGCAGGGAGTCTCCCTGGGACAAGAAGGAGTCTCAGAGAACGGAGGAAGGCCTCAGGAGAACCCAGATCTGCTCCCTCATGGGCTGAACAAGAGACTTCATCACTAACTGCCTCCTGGAAGTGCTGGGAGAAAATGTTGTTACGGGGAATTTTACAACAGCAGGAGTAAATATATTGCAAAGAAACAAAATAAGAGTCACAGGCCAGGAGCAGTAGGGCCTCGGGTTTTTGTCCCACTTCCCCGTCTGCCCGTGTCACTGTGGAGAGTACTGCTGTACCCAGTCACACAGTAATAGTCGGCCTCGTCCTCAGGCTGCAGCCCCGAGATGTGCAGAACTCCTGCATTGGCCGAGGTGTCCTTGGATCCAGAGAAGCGGCTGGGGACCCCGGAGCCCTGGTGTTTATTGGAGTCTGAGTAGTACCACAGGAGATAGCGGGGACGGCTCCCTGGCTTCTGCTGGTACCAGGATATAGCATAGCTTCCAACACTGAAGCCACTGCTCAGGGCGCAGGTGAGTCTGACAGATGCTCCAGGAGATGCAGAGAGGGAGGGCGGCTG